ACTCAGATCCAAGGAATCCCTATGATGCTAAGCTCATAGGGGGCTGGTCTAGCCGGTTCTCTTGGAGGTGGGCCAAATTGCCCGCTCCTTCCTTTTCGTCTCTTTCCATCTTCTTCTTTCTTTTTTTCCTCCCTTGTCTTTCGTAGAAATTCCTAATTCCAAAACCTTCCTAAAAAAGTGATCTGATTTTTATTCTTTCTCCTAATTGAATCCAATCGTAAAAGCCTAAAATCTAATTTGTTTTGATTTTCCTTCCTTAAATCTAAAATCTGATTTTATTTTTTTTTCTATTTTAAAAGTCTTGCCTAAATTCTAAAATCTGATATTATCCCTTTCATGTTTTAATGTTTCTTAAAATTGAGTTAATTCTTTTATAAATAGGAGTTCTTGTGTCTAGGATGAGGGTCTTGATTTTAAAGTATGAATTCAACTTTGCTTGAAGTATTTCCCTCTCGAGGACTCTATTCGATTACAAGGACGGTGCTCCGGCTGTAACCCCATCGAGATGGTGTTTTTCTTCACAGTTCCGCCCCCTATTTGCTGCCCGCTGTCTGCCAGCAGTCCAACCAGCCTCCATGTTAGCCGACCACCTCCTTGCCAGCACTACAACTACCGTTCCTCCCTTGCTGCACCTCTTGATCATCGAACAGTCCTCCGACAACCTCTCAACAGGCATTTTAGCTCTGCTATCAGCCTAGACTGATACTGATCCTCCCCTCCAATTGCCTTGCAGGCTGACCGCAACTACTTGCTGTCCTTCCGACCGCAACCTCTGCTGCCACTTGCACCCCTTGGCTCTCAACTGCCTTCCTAGACCTTCGACGGCTGACCCTGTAGCTTCCCCGCTGGACGTCGCAGCACCTGTCGCCTCTCTCATAGTAGGCCGTCATCTCTGTTAGGCTTTCCCAGTGCCTCCAGTTCACTGTATTCATATTTCTGCAGCCTGCAGCCCCCTCTGCTGCTACTCACACCACAGGTCGCAACCCTTCCTCCACCGTCCGTGTCTTCGTTCATTGGTTTCGGTCTGCTTTCATGCCTCCGCTCCTCGGCTTCGTCCGTCGCGTGCACCTCTGCTCATCGGTTTTGGCTACGATACTTATCTCTGTTCCTTGGCTCCGGCTGCCCTTACTGCCACTCCCAACTCTAGCCTTCGACTACATTCACCGCTTTTCTCGGTTGTAGCTCGATGCCCCAATGAGCGCCTACGTCCACCCGAGATTGCTCCGACCTTCAACACAACCACCCTCCTGGCACCGCCTCTCCAGATTACCTCCTTGTCAAGCTTGTCGCGTCTTTGTGTGTTTAGTCTTTATTGTGATGTTTCGTTTTTTTGTTTCCATTCGCATAGTATTTTTTTTCTTTTGAGTCCTCGTTGTAACTATCTTTTAAATTATTAATAAATTTGTGTTGTATGTCGTGATTTTGGTTAACTCCGGTATCACCCAGCACTTGATTTTATCCCACGACATAGAATCACGGAAAAAGAGTCAGTAGAGAATAATGACAGTGAAAAATTAAGGATTTTAATTTAGTTTTAATTAATTTATTTAACTCAATATCTTATTATTTTAATGTCTCCCATTCCATTTATAATTCATATATAGTGATATGTATTGAATTAATTGATTCGTCGTGTACGTGTAGAATTTTATAAAATTGTTTCAATTGAAATTTAGGATGCAAAATTGAGAGTGCATTTTAAAGTCATTAAAAGTTTCACCTAACCTCTCAAATTTTCTATGTTACATCCCGGGTAGCTGTAATTTGTAAAGAGGCGCGACAGCAAAATGATGGGTGTGGGGAAGGAAAAGTCAAGTATAAATACTCCTTCGGGAATGAGCTATAATTGGAGTACCACTCGACACTTGGAAGAAAGTAACCACCGCGGACGAGCTACAACTAGAGCACCACCAACCTTTAGATACAGCTCTAAAAAACAAAAATAGAGATGCCAGCAGTTGTCTTGACTAGAAACCTGAAAAAATTTATAAATCCTAAAGCACAAAAATCACATATATAAGCCCTAGATAGCTAGGATTGGATTCCCCTATGAAAAGGAGGCGCCAATCCCTCGTGGAAGAGCCGATATGCTCTCCCTGGTCTGGACCTATTCGGTCCAGACGAATGAAATCATGGGAGCAAGCCACAACTCTCTTTATGCCGCTCCGCAACTTTACAGGCATGGCCACATCCTTTAATCAAAATGTCCCCAATTTTTTAGGCAAACCACATTTTGCTTGAAGTCCCCTAAAATTATAAAAATTAAAAAAGAATTGCACATTATTAGAAAATTTAAATAAAATCTTGTAGCCCGAAGCTAAGAGCATTAATCCTACAATTTTTTTATAAATTTTGTGGGTATTTTAAAATAATAACAGACTATTGCCACTTCATGCATACCTCTATGATTAGTTTGAAAGGTCTCGTGCTTATTATGACATAATATATCATCTAGTTAGATGCTTTTGACACCAAATATGTCACACAAATACGATTAGGATAGTGGGCCTCTGGTTGGGTTGCTACTTTAAAATAACATAATTAAATTATGGTCATAAGTTCAAATTTCTTGAATGGTAAATCATAGAATGCACTTGATTAAACATGATGCTCTCTGTTTATGTTAACTTAAATTTCGTTTTTTACACAAACATCCACCGCAAAGCTACAAGATTCTTTTTGATGATGCAACTCATGGTTGTTAATAAGGATCCTTTGATCTAGTTGTGTTGGTTATCTTTGACGGAGTAAATTAGGGTTTGCAACAACTTAGGATAGCTTAATTATATGCTCTTGATCGAGTTTGTTGTCACTCCCCCACTATCCACTCAATACTCAATGTGATAAATTTCATCAATCTAAAATTAAATTGTTGCTACTTTAAGTTATGCTCTTCTTGTCCATCGACTTGCATTAATCGAAAATACCCTCTCATCATTGAGCAGGATAATTGACCATATAGTCTTACACCTTAGGGAAACGTGAAACTAAAGCATAATGCTTTTACAAAATATGGACAAAATTTCTTAGTAGCGTGTTATCTCAAATTTAAGTTGCTTGCTAAAAATTTGACCTAGAATCACATAATTTGTCACAAGTGACAATCTTGAAATTTGGGAGCCCACCTCTTTTAGGTGCATTTGTTCATAGATCAAAAATAACAACAACCGCAAAAACAACAAAAAGCCTTTATCCCACTAAGTAGGGTCGGCTACATTAATCCTTTTTTTTCCATTGTCATATTGAGTGTCATATTTTCATTTAATTCTAATCAATTATGATTATTTTTTTTACAAGTCTTTTTAGGTGTACCTCTACCTATTTTAACATAAGCCAAATATGAAACATCTACTCTCTTAACCGAATCACTAGATGGTCAACAATTTATATGAGCAAACCATCTAAGATCACTCTCTCTAATCTTATCTGCCACTAAAGCTACACAAACACATAACTTAGTTTTTATGCTTCTCTTTAAGGACAACATTATGTGCCACAAAGCATTGCAGGTTTCACCACCATCTTATATTATTTTCCTTAAGTCTAAGTGGTACTTTTCTATCACACAATAGGCCCGATGCATTCCTCCACTTCACCATCACTGTGAACAATAGACCTGAGATACCTTAGTCATTCACATTTTAATTATTTGATTACCCATTGTTACAACTCTAACACTAGATTTACTAATACTAAGATTACATTTCATGCATTCAGTTTTAGATCTACTCAAATGAAGGCCTTTAGATTAATGTAGATCTCCATATTTTTTGTTTTTTCTGAACTCTTTCTCTAGTCTTTTCCACAAGAAGGATATCATTAGTGAAAAGCATACACCAAGGTACATCCTCCTATAAATGTCCAGTATAAGAATCCATAACTAAAGCAAAGTGATATAGGCTTAAAACCAAACCCTGATGTAATCCAACTGTAATAGAAAAATACTTGGTAAATCCTCCTTCTGATCGAACACAAGTAAGAGTTTTAATATACATATCTTTATTGACTTGTATAAGTCATATCAACTTCTTTCTTTTCTTGAACTAATAAAGGAACTTCTCTTGGAACATTGTTGTAAGCTTTTTCTATATCAATAAAAATCACATATAAATCTTTCTGACTCTAAGTATTTTTCTATCAAACCTCTCAATAAATTTATAGCTTAGTCGACTTGCACAACAGAAATCCAAGCTGATTATAAGAAAATTTTGTATCAAGTCTTAAACTATGTTCAATACATGTTAAAGGAATATCTATGACTATTTGCTAACTATTTAAATTTTAAATTACAAATTATAAAAACAAAGATTGCAATGTGCATGTGTGCGCATTTGTATGGGTGAGTGTGTTTGTGCACGTATGTGTGACCACCCGTATGCGCGCGTGCGCGCGTAGGTCTGTTTGTACGTGTATGTGTGTGTGTGGTTGCGTGCGCGTGTTTGTACGTGTGTGGGGGTGCAACCTTTAATGCATCTTGACTTTGATCTTGTGATTTGTTTTTGTAGTTCTGTTGGTTTGTTACATTAGGAATACTTGATAGGCTCAGACTAATAAACATGGTGTCAAAAATGCCCGCTAATATCTTTAATGGCCTTCATTAAGGCATCAATAAATCGTGACGCAAGTTAAAAAACTGATAGACGCAATGAGTGAAAGTAAGCATAAAATATAACGAGTGTAGGGATGACCTTGCGTCTATGTTTCCTGGAAAAGCGATTGCATTCTCTTTTCTATCTATTGATGGTATCACATTTACGATAAATTGATGTTACTTTTCTTGAGTTGCAAAGTTCTAGCTTTTTGCATGCCAACAGATCTTTCGTTTGCCTTATATTGTGATTACATTCTTAATATAGGCTGTAAAAATTTTATTTTTTGACATCTAAGAACTGTCATATATACTTGTGTGGGTATGATTTTGTTTGCAAACAATTAAACTGCTAAGACTGTTCTCATTTTTTTTCTCACGCCTGTAGCATTGTCCCAATTCTAATTATCAGGTTTTTGAATTTCTGGAGGAATTATCAAACAACTTGTCAGACCTGGCTACAACGGAACTTAATTTTCTTAAAGATCTGAAGGTTATTTCTCATTGCTGTACTGTCACTTCTTCAATTAGCCTACTATTTTCGTACCTCTCATATCAAAATGTGAGTTTCAGATGAAGGAAGAAGGGGATGCTTCCTTTGGAATGGAAGATCTGGCATACTACATTAAAAGGGCTGAAGAGCTACATTATAATTTGGATATGGCAGAAGTTAGACAATACTTTCCTGTGAACTTAGTCTTCTCAGGAATTTTTAAACTATTAGAGGATATATTTGGTAAATTTATGTTTTTCTAATTCGATATAACATAAAATGTTTAACCTACTTCTTATTCCGTAAGATAACTTCATATGTTTGGCATTTATTTCAAAGATTTTGCTTGTCCCAGGATTGACATTTAAGGAAGTTAAAGATGTTGAGGTGTGGCATGAAACAGTTAAGCTTTATGCTGTTCTGGAGTTCAGTTCAAATGATCTTCTGGGATATGTTTATCTTGACATTTTCTCCAGGTTTTTTTTTTAATTATTTTTTTTAACTTTTTGGAATATTACAGGTTTTGACGGGTGCTGCAATCAGGTATGAACTTACTGTTGTTTTTTCTTTATCAGGCATGGTAAATTTACCCATACATGTGTTTTGTCACTTCAAAATGGGAGCTCATCCTCCAAGGGAATTGAACAGGTTATTGATCTCTCTTTCTCTCTCTCTCACACACAGGCACACACACACACACACACATAGAGTTTGTGTGCTCGCTTGAGGCTGCAGTGAGTTGGCTTCATATCCATGTTATGCAGCAGTGAAAAATAGAAATAACACGCTAGTTTGTTTGCTTCTTGTCTATGATAAGCGCAGAACTGTTAAAGTTGGTAGCTTGCATACCATTTGTGATCTTTGTAATTGTTTTCTTGTGCTTTTCCTTAGCTGAATTTACTGTTAAGGAATGAACTTCGTTTTTTATTCTTCTGAATCTTTATTAAAAAAAATAATTGCTTAATATTATTCTTGGGTAATATTTTGGAAACACTTCTTGACTTGAGGTTCATAATGATCAAGTCAGTCACTCACATGTGGTTTGGCTATTTTAGCTTCATTCTCTATGTTGATTCATTTAAATCTTATGAATGACTAGTCGCACTTTGTAGAAACGATTGCTTATTGAATTCACTCCCTATAGCCCCATAACCTTAAAGGTGAGTCATATATTCTACTCTATTAGCTGACAAATCGAAGTGTCTGGTTATCTTGGTGTTGAAGGTTAACTTATGCTTTGAGGTTCATCTATGCAATTTCTTGCACTTTAGTTGCTGTCCTCCATCACTACAATTAATCGGATCAATTATGACTGCAATGGTGGACAATTGTCATAGTATCACGCAAGTCCAACTTGAAACTCACTTTGTATTGCAGAATCTATTAAACAGAGCCCATCTTGCAAAACTGATTGTGCTGAAAAATGTAGAGCATTTAAATTACCTAGGAAAGGCCTCTGCATCATCAAATCATTGAATGAGGAAAAGGTCAAAATAAAGTTGTTTGAGCAACGATAATTCATGAGCAAGATTCAATATACACTTCAATTAAATTCTATATTATATATAATTACTACAATTATATTAAAAAATCTATAAATTTGGCTCAATCTCTTATCCGCTCGCTTAAACTCTTAGACACATGCTCTCTCTCACTCACCTCCACCTTTTGCTCCTTCCCAAATTTTGAAACCCTCAATTGCACATAAATAATGAAGTCACAATATGGGTTTGCTGGTGGACAATTAGGGGGCTCATATATTGTCCCACATCAGTTGACTCTCCATTTAAGGTCAACTGTGGTGTGATAGAGGTGGGCAACTCAATGATACATAATTCCCTCTACACCAGCTATGACTTAACAAATCAGGACTCAGTGGATAACAAATTTGTCTAATTCAATCGTCACAAGCATTAACACTTTAATTCAATTTATAATTTAGTAGCATCCTCAATTACTTGGAAGCGTACATAATAATATCACAAAAATGTATACATAGCTATTAAAACTCCAACTTATAGGAACACATACCTAAAAGTCAGGACAACTTTAAAAATTATATAATCTAGAAGTTGTAAATTATCAAACTTGAGTGAATAAAACCTGACTATTCACTCATATACTTAAACTTCATAATATATATGAGTGCACTACAAATTCGGCGAAATCATCGAAGCTAAAATAATATTTATGGATGGAAATAAAACATTGTATATGTGTTATCGTAACTCATATTTATGGCAATTGTACATAAAATAAACATACACTAATCATGTGAGACATTCAAGTTAAAGAACATGAACTAGAACAAATAGTAACAACTACAACAAACATATTTTTTTATTCATTCATTATGCAATCATAAAAATATTCATTATAATTTTATTCATTTGTCTTAGAAAATTTACTTGTAGTTGTATAGATTTTGACTACATTTTTCATTTCATGTCAACAAACCTCCATCTAGTCTGTCGACTAAAATATATATTGATAAAGGTTACGTTTTTCAGCATAATAGTTATCAATGACCCCCCTGATACTAATAAATTTGTCTGCTATTTAATATTAGGAGTTGGGAATTCCATGATTTCGTACTGCAGATCATTCATGTACTAGTCTTCTGTTATAGCACTTGTGACATTTTTTGTAAACATAATTTATGTGACAATCATTCATCATATATAAATCATATATCATATGCATATATAATAATTAATGAATGTCTGCAAGCAATAGTTTATCAAACATACTCACCAGATCAATTGAAGCATTAAAATAAAAAATATCATTAGTGTTAACTTAAGTTTGCATTCATGTAACATGTGTAGGCATTTGGTAATATGAAAACACTTCTAATTAAAATCATATAAAGAAATCACATAGTGATCATACAAAAAGTTGTTTTTCTTATTTTATCACACGATTATTTCACCTAAATTGACGGAATAGCTATACGACGAGTTTCCTCAAGCTTGCCTTTGGCTTGCCACTTAGAGTAAACCACCTTGAACCATAATCCCCTTTAAATTTTTACGAAATTCTTATCTAATATATTAATTTAAACTTAATACAATTTACTTTTCATTCATTGCTTCGATAGGATTTTCCCATATAAATTCTCTCCCAAAAGATTTCTTCTTTTCCTTTCTTCTTCCTCCCCTTTTTTCCTACCCTTCTCCCTCTTCTCTTTGTTGTTTTCTTGATAACAACCCTATCCGAACATTATAATCAAGTTTGCAGCTTCAGGTCGGGTTTCTTCTTCTCTCATCAATAACTAGAATCACAGAAATGGTCAGTTCGTGGCAAATCATAGAAAAAAATTTTGAGAAGAAAAAATATTTCAAATTGCATGGGAAGGAGCATTGTACTTACTGATATTTTATCATGATTCTAAACCGAGAGCTAGACCTCCTTATTCCGCTGTCCACCTCGCTCTTTTCGATCCCACTACAGTGTTGGGATCACTGGATGCCCAGGCACATAAAAAGAAAGTTTGAGAGATGGAGAAAATGAAGGGAAAAGCTGCGTTTAACATCACTTAATTATATCACAGCCCTCCAATTCATCTAGTTGTTGCATGTCGCATAAAAAGGGCTTGCTATTGTGCTATGAAGTTATGGATGCCAATTATAATTAATTAAGGATTTAATTAGTTTAATTAATTTAATATTTTTTTTATAATTCCAAATATATGCATAATGTATATAAATTGTTACATATCAATTGGATCGATTCAACATGTAGAATTTTATAAATTTAGCTCTGTGGGATTTCAGTGAATGTGAAAAATTGGGTATGTTAAAATGATCATTATTTTATCTAAATTTGCCAAACTAGGCATTAAAATATTCCTCTCATAAAAATTTCATACTCAATTTTTTTTAATTTTTATTTGAATAGAAAATTATGTCACGTCTTATTCTTTTCCCAAGTAGTTTCTTTTTTTGTATTACTTCCATTATATCTTGAAATAACTAATTTCCATATTCCTCAACTTCTTAACATCAAATTTTAAAATCCTCTAAGCTTCTTTATGTTAAATCTTTTTTGCACTTTTATATCTTCTTTTGAACTTTTTTTTATCTAAACTTTTATGTGAAAGTTGAGCCCAGAGGGCAATATGCGCAATTCAAACCCTTCACCTCACGGTGGGAAACTAAATACTCAACCATTATATTTGAGGTAAATGCGCCATTGATTTGAGTTTGCAATTGGTTTTCTCAAAATTGAAATGTGAAATAAAGCATGAATTTCTGACATATCAATACGTAAAACGACCTTTAAGCCACTTGATTAATTCTTTCTATGATTTTAAAGTTACTAATATATCTAGGCCAAATCCACATGATCGACAATAAAAATATTATGACGCAAAGCACAAAGCAATAAATTTTAAGATTGATGATTTTATATTTCTAAAAGTCAGACAAATAGAAAGTACAGTCGGATTTGGTCAAGGACCTAACATTTGACGTTCTTTTATATCCAGCCAACTTAGAGTTTTGCATTTCCTATCGTATAGTGTTTCATATGGAGTCATTTTAATACTGGATTGATAGCTACTATTGTAGGCGAACTTGATCATCGGAATATGATCTTCTCAACTGCCTCCAAAGTCAAGAACACATAACCTTAACAAATCTTCAAATACTTGAATTATCCTTATTGACTCTCCATCAGTTTATGAATGAAATGTTGTGCTAAAATGTAAATGTGTACCCAAACCTCTCTGAATATTTTTCCACAACATGGGCAAATCTTTCGTTTGTCTCAAAAATAATTACCTTTGGATTGTCGTGTTGTCTAATAACTTTTTTTTCATATAATCTAGCTAACTTTTCTACGAAATATGTTTACTTAATTTGAAAGAGTTGTACTGATTTTGTTTACCTGTAAACAATCACCTAAATGCTATCATAACCCTGCTTGGATTTAGGAAATCTTGTGATGAAGTCCATTGCAATTTCTTGTTATTTCCATTATGATATAGACACATGATTTTAGTAATCCATTGAGTATCTGATGCTCAACTTTTACAAATTGACAAACATGATATTTAGACACATATTAAACATCTTTTGTCATACATGGCCACCAAAACATGAATTTCAAATCTTTGTATATTTTTTTTTTGCTGCTTGGATAAATTATACCACATGAATGATGAGCTTCATGTAAAATTTTATGTAAATTAGGATCAACTTGTTCTCCAAACTACAACTTATTTTTTGTAACATTATTTTCATCTACAGTCACATCTTGCCTCTTTCCTGACTGAATTTTTAAAATTAGATTATGATATTCATTATTAATTTTTCAAGCTGCATTAATTTTGTCAATTAAAGTTAATTGCACAGTCCACTGTTATAAATACCCAATATTTTTTGGTCTTTTAATCTCCAATTACAAGACAACAGTTTTTTGATCAATTCTAGATTTTGAGTAATAATTCAGCTTACACCACTTAAAGACTTGTGACTCAAAATTTTCAGCAACAATATTAGCTCGCCAAAACAATATTGCATATCCAAATTATGTTCTTTGATAATCACTTGTCATCCCTTTTATCTCAAATTCAACTCTTATGTGAAAATATACTTCAAATTATGATGATTTGTAAAGTCTTTGCACTTCACACCGTGTAGATA